TATTATATACTAGTATTTTTGTTGTATATATTAGTTTTTTACTGCAATCTCTGTTCACAGGTGATCATATACTTTGTTTTAATGATGCTTTTATAAAGCTGTTTTTCTCTATTTCATAGTTTTATTTTTTTCTTCTTTCTTCTTCTTCTTGGCTTTTGATTGCTGCTATTATGTCTTGACAATTTTGCTGCATTATATTTGTTTTTAATGTTTTAATTTCTTCTTCTATATATTTGTCTATTGTTATTTCTATTAACATATTTGTGTTTTCTGTATCTTTTATGTTTTTTTTATTTTTTCTTCTTTTTTGTTATTTTTTTTCTTTTTTACTTGTGTTCTACTGTAATTCTTTTTTCTCTATTACTATATTTACTGCATCTGTTATTAGTCTCATCTTCTCTATATATATTTCTGATATGATTACTTTTTCTTTTAACATAGTTTAATTTTTTTTACTATTTATGCTTTCTACTACTATTGAATATTGGCTTATATAATTTATTTCTTCTGCCTATTTTTCTATACTGGTTGGGTTTTTTATGTCTATTTTAATTATTGTTTTATATATTTTCCTTAGCATTATTATCTCCATTAGATTTGTTTTTCATAATACTGCTACAACTATATCTCTTACATTAAAGTGGTTTTCTTTATTTACTAATTCTTGTTCTAACTCTTTGCTATCTATAAGTTTTAGTACTGCCTCTGCCTTTTTATTTACCAACTTTAGCATTCTAGACTCTTCTAATTTTATTTGTATTGACATCTGGCTGTGCTTGTATAACTATTTCTAAATGCTTCTATTATGTGTACTTTGTAATACTTATATATCTGTTCTGCCTATTTCTATATATGGTTATTTGTTTGTTTCTTTACATGCTCATATGGTCCAAAATAATCTGCAATTTTGATATTTGTATATAATAATTATAATAAATTTTTATAAGTATTATATACAAAATTCTTTTTTAGTATTAATTTTAAATAATAAAATCTTATTATATCTAAATATATACAGTTAACTTTGGATATAACAAACCTCTATATAACAAACTCTAAATATAGTAAACTTAAAATTTAAAAATTTTTATAATAGTTCCATATAGAACCTGCAATTTTTCTTAAAAAAATATAATAACTTTTTATAATGAACTTTTTTTTTTCAGTACTGTTAGTTCATTATAGAAAAAGTTGATTGTATATATATTTTTGTTTAAAAATTATACTTTATAATAGTTATTTTATTAAGGTTTATATAATTTAGTGCATGTGTGTTGTAATACACCCATCTGATTAACTAATTTGATTGTAAAATTAGGTGTAATATGAAATCAAAAGAAAATACTAATTTTTTTAAAAATTATTTGTAGTTCAAAATTTTGTTTATGAAACCACTTTTCATATTCTAATAAAAAATTTTCTTGCAAAATTTTGATATTAAAATCAGTTTTATTATTAGTTAATCCTGGTCTATCTTAATGCTAGCCCTTACTCTAAATTAATGCACTAATTTGGTTTGTTTTAATTTCATATTACACCTGATCTTATGGGTGTGTTACAATGCATATACGCAAAATGATAAAAATCTTTTATTAATATATATTAAAATTAATATTACAATAAATTTTTTTTTTTTTAAGATAAGTTTTTTCTTATATCTTTATTAATTTGTTAAAGTAGCCTTCAGAGGCTTCTCTAGATATAAATTACAAACTTATTTTAACAAGAATGAAGCTCAGACTATAGACAGATTTTTATCTAATTTATCTGCAATCCAAACTTACTAAAGTAGTTAAACTCATTTAAATTTGATAATATAAGATATTGTTTGTAAGGTAGCTATATAGTATTCAGTATACAGACCAAAGGTCAATTTTATAAAGTGCATTTTCTAGTAGTAGGCAGTTATTAACTTCTGTATAGAGTTGATTAGATAGACCACACAGTTGACAAACTGTATAGTGTAAGTTACAATATTGATTAAAGTAATTATAAGATCTTCTGTAAGTTATAAATCTGTTATTTAATATGATGTTGTTTTATTTTTATTGTGCTAATTTAGTAGCATATGGTTTCTATATATGATCATATATTTTTTGTAATATTTTGGTAAGCAGTTTAGTAGTTATTAAACTTACAATTTAATGAAATATAATATAGAGTCTGATTGTAGTAATTAGATCTGTTAGCATATATTTTTGTAGTATTGTATATATGTTGCTTTGTCTTTGATGAGCATTGTTAACTAATAGGCTGTTATATTAAGTTAGTAAATAGTATAATTGTTGTAGTTGTAATTGTGTAATATCTAGTAATAAGTTATTATTAATGATTTCAAAAATTGTTTCTGTAATAATACTAGTAAGATTTGTTAGATTAGGACAATATAACCAGTACAGTAGGTGTTTTGATGTTTGGCAAATAATGCAGTTATTGTGCTAAAAGCTGTTTGAAAATAGTTTATAAAAATAGTGCAGTATTGGTAGAATATTAAGTAGTGTTTTGATTTTAAATAATTTGTTTTAATTAAGTAAGAAGTTGGTATAGTTATTTGTTTATTTAGTATTGTTGTTAAGATATAACTATGTTGCATTTTAGTTAATTTGTAGTGACAGTAAAATAATGTTGCTTATGTGATGTTGTGATGACTATATAGCAATTATATAAACATTACAGATGTTTTTAATAACTTGTTTAGTAGTTTGTTTAAGTATATATTTTTTATATTTTAAATTATATAAGATGTTATATAAATTGTTGTGTATTAAGTCAAGGTATGCAATAGAGTTGTGGTTTGTTGCTAGCTTATTAGCTTCATTGTTAAATATATTGTTACTATATGCAGATATTTTGTAAAAAGTAACTATACGTTAATAAAATTAAAATAAGTTAAGTAGTAAATGCCAAATAGGCCAATATAATTAAGGATATTGTTTATATACTAGAATTAGATAACTAGTAATTTTTCTGAATTTTGCAATAATTAATTAAGAGTTTGTATAAATTTGTATGTTGCTGTTATATAGACATGTACAAATAGCAGATAGTATTGCTATAAGTTCTGCTTTGTAGAATAATAACCAGAGTTTAATACAGAAAAAATATAATTAAAGTATTGTATTATTGTGGATTTGTATCTATTTAATATTCATAAAATATTTATCAGTAGTAAAATTAGTAACTGATCCATCTGTATAGAATATGAAGTTAGTATATTTCTTATTAAGGTTAGCAATTTTCTGATGTTTAATAGAAGAAAAATTAACTTGAAATAAGTTAAATATAGGTATGTTAGTAAGTATAATAGTAGGTGATGATGGAATTGATAGGAGTGACTGTAAAGCAATAGAATAAATAAGGTCTAAATAGTTTGCATTTAAGTTAAATTTTTTTGTATTGTTGTGTTTTTTCTATTTTAGGAATTTTGTTGCAGAATTAGCTAGAATATTAAAAGTACAGTAATTTTGAATTCTGTTTAAGTTATGAATGCATTCTGTGTATTATATACAATTGATAGTTGGAAGTAATTAAAGGATAATGTAGAAGAGGTCATGTTTGGTCAGTCAGTATATAATTAAAATAGTATTGTCATTAGTATTGTATTTGCATGCTTTTCTAATAATTATTTTTTGGTAATTATAGTTAAAAGTAATTAGCTATAGTTTGAATTTAGAGCTATAATGGCCTATTGTGAATAACAGAGAATTAGAGGTAGAAAGATTTAGTAATAAGTCTATTTGTCTGATATAGTTGTCTGTAATAAATTTGTTTTCTAGTATAGTAAACTATTTAGATTTTCATCTAGTTAAATTTGTCCAGATTTGAATAAAATGTATATTCAATCCAGAAGTGTAGAGTTATCGAATAATGTAAATTGTTCAAGATATAAAATGTATTTGTTATATAACTGTTTTTTGAAATTGTTATAGTTAGAATATGTATGTAGAAGAGTTTCACTTGTAATGTATAGGTATGTTAGTATATAAGATTGTGTTGAGTAAACAGAGATTGTAAGCTGCATATGTCTAAGAAGTTGAATTATTTAAAAAGTTGTAGTATGTTTATTAGCTTCATCTATAAAAAGGTTAAAGTGTTAAAGAATGTTAGTAGTTAACCAAAGGTTGTTTTGAAGTTGTTGTAGTCTTATTGAGTAGTGCCTTCAAGTAAGTCTGTTTTGTTAAGTCAAAGAAAGAAATTGCTAATATGATGTTGTAGCTGTATATTCTATATATTTTTAATTCTATATATGTTGTAGTTGAGCATTGTACTATTAGGAGTAGTAACTGGAAGTTTGAATTTGTGTTTAACTATAATAAGATATTTTGACAGAATCTTGTTGCATGTACAGTTTATCTTCATTATAACAGACCTTGTTAAATTAGATTTCTCACAATAACAAAGTAATTTTACCAGAACAAAAAATTTAATATTTATTTTTTCTTGCAATTATAGATTTTTATATAATAATACACTATAATAATTATAGTTTAAATTGTATTGCCTAGCATATAAAGAAATTTTTGCTATAACAGATTTGTGATATTTATGATTATTATGAACTAATTAGATTATAAGATTATAATAATATATTACAACTGATAAAAGTTTTTTTAAGCTTGCTAATACATACCTGGTATATACATATTATAGATACTACATGATATACTATGTCTAATTTAAGAGTTAAAAGTATTTTTTAAAAACTTTGCCTCAAGCTTGCTTTAAGTTTTTATATATTAAATCGATAAATAAAAGTATTGTCTTTAGTAGTTTTGCTTCAATAAGATATTAAATTTAAACTTAGAGTATTAACTTTATTAAAAATATCTTGTGCAATTTTTTTTTAAAAAAAATCTTTTTATGCTTTAAATCTTTTTTTTTAAACAAAAAAAAAAAAAATTTTTTAAAAAAAACTTTTAAACTCAGAAACCTGGAAACCTTAAAACTCTAAAAACTAAAAATTCTGAAAACCTATAAACATTTTTTTTTTAAAAAAAAAAATGTCTGCTAAAATTAATAAAATGCTTATTTTTGATGAAAAATGCAAGCATATAGCAATATTAGGTTTAACAAATCAAAAAATTTGGTAAAAGCTTTCTGCATATAATCCTTTTAAGCAAAAAGATCTAGTGCTATATAATATTTCTAAGCAAGTTGTATCTAATATTTGGTAAGATAAAAATAAGTGACTTTAACTTGAAGTCAATAAATATAATGCACAATTAAAAAAAAAATGTCAATCAGAATTTCCAATAATTAAGAAAATTTTAGAAAGATGGTTACAATATGCTTTCACAAAACAAATAGTATTAACAGATAAAATTCTTATAGAAAAGGCTAAAAATATTGTTTCTAGTATTAGAAAAGAACAATTCTGTAGTTCAAAAAAATGACTAGTATAATTCAAGTTATGACATGATATAAAGATGTACTTAAAAGTTGGTAAAAGTAGAAGTGCATTATCAGAAGCTAAGCTTAATGCAGAATAATGAAGGTTACATTTTATTATTATACAATACTCATTGAATAATGTATAAAATGCTAATAAAACAGAAGATGACGATTCTAGTGTAGTGGTTAGGTTGTCATTCTTCAAGTGGCAAGTCTAAGGTTCAAATCCTACCTATGACAAAATTTGAAAATTATATCTGTGTTATGGTAACTGTCTCCTGTCGATCAGTTGGCCTCATGTGGCTGTTACTCAGGTACACCAGGCCGGGTCTCCCCAGCTTTGGGAGCTTAAGGTATCTATGTGAAATGTAATGTTACATGTACATAGAGGAATGTTAATCGGTATTGCATAAGACTTCAGTACAAACCTATGATAAGTCCACTGGGCATAGAAGACTAAGAAACCGAGATGACAGAAACCCACTTGGAAATTCCTGAGTAAAGAGGTAGCATGAACTTTTGATGGTACCATTGGACTGGTTGAAGCCCATGAAACACCTTCATAGGAACCGAAGATTAAAATCGGATGACAAATATGTGTAGAGGAGCACATAATCAACCAGGCTGCTGGGTTCACCGGAGGAAAAGGATACAAAAGTATACCATACCAGGCCATCTGAATTGGTAGTCTGGATAAATGAGACTGACAGTTCTAAGTTGCAGCTAGTAAGAGATGATTGAGAAGATGCCAGAAAGATGGGTACTAGGGTTCTAGTGAACTTTACAAGGGTAGAAATAGTATAACGTAGTGGTTAAACAGGTAACCCCTATGACTGCAAGTGTTAGATAACTATAGCGTGTTGCATAAAACTAGGTCTAGATGTGTAGAACATAAAGGCTTTAGTAAGTTTCCTATTGAGAATAAAGTAGTCCTAAGGAGACTGATAAGCATCGGAAACTTGGATGGATGGCGCCTTGAGATGTTCCTGTGATACAAGAAGGATTGCATATACAGAGGGTTTAAATAGACAAAACCTCTAGTTGGCTTGCAGGTATGGCAATTAGTGTAGAACTTATATAGTAATGTGTAAGCAGACTACTTAAATTAGACACCAAAAGTGCATGTGTGGCTAGTTGTAACCTTCAATATAAGGTGAGCCCTTGGTGGCATGCCATGTCCTAATATACTTGAATAAAAACATTGCAACTCTCAAGATAGGGACTTTAACAAAAAAAAAAAAAAAATGCTAATAAAACAGAAGATTTTGAAAACAAAAGCCAGCAAGAACTCTTGCTACTAGTCCTCAACAAAGTCATAAACTTTTAAAAAAACAAATTACATGCCTTATCACTTGTAATACAACTGGAAATTAAAATCATTTATTCATAAATATAAAATATCATGTTTACTTTATAATATCAACTATAATAGACTTCCAGTTTCTTACTTTTGAAATAAAACCTGTTGAATGCAAATATGAAAAAATAAAAATTAAAACAATATTAATTAAAATGCATTATAGTATAATTAGTTATTTTTTTAAAAAATAACTGATTACACTATAATATATTTTAATTACCTTATTTTAAAACTATAAATGCTAATAAATATTAAATTAATTTTTATACAGGTTTCAATCTGAATAAGAATATTAAAAGATTAGAATAAACAACTTAGTAAAAGTGACAAAAATATTCTTCTTATCATTGATAATGCACTAGTACATCATCTAGAAGAAAATGTTAAACTAAACTATATTCATATTGAATTCTTGATGCCTAATACTATTGCTCATATTCAGCTTTGTAATCAGAAAATTATTTAATTTTTAAATGTTTTTACAAAAAAAGTTTTATAAGAAATAAAATCAATATATATGATTCTGTTTATAATAAGTTAAATGAGAATTCATTAGACTTTACTATTCATGATGCTATTTATCTTGCAGATGATGCTTGGAAAAATGTGACTTCTAAAACTATTAAGAATTATTAGAAAAAAGCTAAACTTCTTCCTTCTAATAAAAATGATGCTATACTATTTACACAGTCTTTAAATATTAAATATAAACAAATTTGTAAATTAAATAAATTAATTACAAAACTCCCAATTAATAACCCTCTTAATGCTAATAAATATTTATATTTAGATAATCTTTTACTAATTAAAAAAATACCAGATAATATAATTTTAATTGAACAAGTTTGTTATGAACATAAAAATATATAATCAGACGATAAGGATAATGGTTGTTCAACAGAACCTTTATATAAGATTTTTTTACAAGAAGAAAGTTGTATTGCAAAAGATTTAATAGAATTTTTATTATAGAAACATGATTTATTTAGAATTTTATTTAAAGAATTAGGTGTAATAAGATATGTAAGTAAAATTATTAGATGTAAAAAGATAAATACAAGACATCAGATATTATTAATGCAGTTTTTTAAATAATGTATAGATTTATACAGTGTTAAATAAAACAATTTTTGTTTAACAAGCAATTAAATTATTTGAATAAATTTATTAAGATATTTATTACAGTTTGAAAAATTTTGTAAATTTTGTAATTATTAAAAAAAAATCGATTTTGATTAATGATTAGTAATTTCTAATTTCTGATTTCTAATTTTTTTATTTATTTTTTTAAACTTTAATTAAACTAGTATTAAAATATTAAAGTTTAATCTAAAATTTAAAAATATATATAAAAAAAATTAGAAATTGGAAATCAGAAATTACTAATTATTAATCATAATCGATTTCTTTTTTTTTAATAATTTGTAAATTTTGCAAATTGCTATATAGTGGCATGCTATTTTTTTAGTAACAAGTAGAAATGTACCTGATCCAAACTGTAAAGAATTAGTAATAATAATCCATTTGTGATCTTATTTATAACATTAACTGTTAAATGATTTTTATATACTATATACTAAGTGTAAAATTAAGTTTGGATCAAGTATATTTTTTTCTGTTATTTACAATATTTTTTTAAAAAATATATAAGCTTTAGTCTTTAAACTGTTGATTAATCTAGGTTGTTTTATATTTAGTATAAAATACTATTTTATTTTTAAAATTTAAAAAGCATTTAATTGTACTACTAATAATATATAATGATTTATATAGCTTGTCACTTCTGGAGCAAAATAATAATAAAAATTAAAATTTTCAAAAAAGTTATTTTAAAAATTAATTATTTAATTATGTTTAACTATTTAATCCAATTGGGTTTTAGTATTATTCTTGAAGATTTTGGGTAAGTAAAAATTGTTGCTATATAATTACCCAAAATCTATAATAATTTTATTCAGATAATTTAAATAATTTAATAATATCTAGGTAAAGATTTTCTAAATAGGTTCAATTTCTATAATAAACAATAATATAATATAAGCACTTTTCAATAAAAAAGTGAGAAATTTCTTTTTTAAATCTAAACAATTTGCCAGATCTAAAAAAAAGATTTCATTCTTTTCTATTGAACAGTGCCTATATGTAATATATTATAATAAGATATAAAATTAAGGTGTAATATATTGTAACATTTCTGATAATATATTTTGCAAAATACAAATATGATTGATTAGATTTACTATACTATATACAAGTAACTCTTAATATAAAAAACTCTCAATATAAAAAAATTGGCTTATAAGAAAGTTTTTAATTGGCCCCAATTTAAATCTAATAAATTTTACTTGATATAAGAAAGTTTATTAAAAAAACTCTCAATATAAGTATATAAGAATGTTTGGGCTATTCTTTATTAATTAAATTTGTCATAATATAAGAAACCATATTATTTGTATAATTTTTAGCTAATTAAATCTTGAGATTAATATATAATGCAAAATGTGTAATGCATTAAATATATAATACAAAAAAGTTTATAAAATATGTAACAAAAAATAAAAAAATATAATTAATATAATACAATAAATAGCAGAGACTGTTAATATTATACATATATTAAAACTGATAAGAAATTATATCTATTACAATTGAATTCAATATAAATAATTTAATTTGTGATTGATTACAAACAAGAAGAATTCATTTTGTATTAGGCATTGTCTTTGCTATAAGCACAATAAAAAAGTATAATGATAAAGCAAAATATGTAACAAAAATGTATAATACAGAAAAGTATAATGCATTAAAATAAAAACAATGAAAAAAAACTCTACCTAAAACACACTGTAAAAACTTTAATAAAATGATTGCATATACAACATTTGCTATAATACTATTTTAATAGATAAATTTTTATTTTAATTTTTAAAAACTTATATCTCAACTGTTCTAAAAAAATACTTTTTTAAAAATTATTGCTATTAGAAAATTTTTTAAATTGCTAATTTTATTGTATAAGTTACCAAATAAAAAAATAAAGAACAAGTTAAATTGTCTTATATTATTTTTTTATGATTGTTATTAATCTTGGATTAAGTATAATAATAGAAAAAAGTAATGGGTCTTTAGTTAATAAATTGTCAGTTGGTGGGTCTTTAGTCAATAGGTTGTTGGTCAAAACTTTAACTAGTTGGTCTTTACTAGTAGTTAATAGGTCTTTAGTTAGTAGGTATTTAGGTATTAGATCTTTAGTTAGAACATTAAATGAAAGATCTTTGATCAATAGAATATTAGCTGAGGATAACATTTTAGATTATGATTCAATTTCTAAAAGAAGAACATTTAATATGAATAATATTAATAATAACAAGAGACAAGCAACAAACAGTAAAAAAACAAAACAAAACATACTAACAAAGGCTCAAAAAGCTAAAATTTGTTGTTTACAAAAGAGAGGTTATATCCAATTTGCACTTGCAAACAAATTTAAAATTAGTGAATCAATAGTCTCTAAAATACTTAAATAACAAGATTATTTTCTTTCAATTGATCCTAATTCATTACAAGCAAAATTTAAGTAAAATTATACAGCTAAGTATTCACAGCTAAAAGAAGTATTGAACTTGTAAGTTTCAAAAGCTAAAGCATATAATCAGACAATTACAGGTGCAATTATTCAATATAAAGCTTTCCAGTTTACTAAGAAACTAAAAATTAACAATTTTGAAAAGTTAGAAGAATGGCTCTCAAACTTTAAAAATTGATTTCACAATAAAGAATATACAAGACAAGAAGAATCTGCTAGTGCTTCAATAAATGATATTTCTTATTATTGTAATAAACTAAAAGATATTATTAAAAAATATCACTTTTAAGATGTATATAATTATGATGAAACTGGTTTGTACTAGCATCTTAAATCTAAAAAAACTCTTGCAAATGAACTGTTTATAGAAAAAAAAAGCAAAAGGTTAGGTTACAATTTTAGTAATATGCAATAGTACTGGCAGTAATAAATTGCCACTTTTTCTTATTTACAAATACTAAAACCTTTATGCTATTAGATATATTGATAAAACAAAATTATCAGTTTATTACTATTGGAATTCTTCTCCCTGAATGCAACTTTCAATTTTTAATTATTACATTAAAAAACTTAATAAACAAATGAGAAAAGCTAGGCAAAAAATACTTTTATTAATAAACCAAGCCTCATCATACACTCTTGAAGAGAAATTCATTTCTTTAAATATTAAAATATATTATCTTTCTTCTCATATAATAGCATATTTGCAACTAAAGTTAATATTTAAATTCAGATTTATATTTATATATAGATCAAATTAGATTTATTTTAAATCCAAATTCAATTTTTAAAAAATATATATTCAGATTAAATTTAAATCTGAATTTATTATATAAATTTCAATTTAAATTTAAATCCAGATTTATATTTAATTTGAATTAAATATAAATCTGAATATAAGTGTTAACAATTTCCTTTAATATTAGTATTACAATATTATTTTGTAAAAATACAACTTTTAAATTTTCAGTTAGAGCAATATTTGGCAGATTCATAAATGCCTTTTTGTATATGTATATATATATGTAAGATAGTAAGTTCTAGAAATAACTAATATTTGAATTAGTTAAAAGATATGAGTGGTTTCCTTAACAAGTTTATAATAATATGATAATGATTAGTTAATATCTATAAAAAAAAAATTATGATATATAAAGTTTTATTCAATAAGTATATATAAACTAGGTTGTATCATACTATAGCAAAAAAAAAAAAGTCTTCTTAGAAAAAGTCCTAAGAACAATTTTTATTACTGCTGCCTTTAATAATAGATAATACTCCTTTAACAACACATAGTTTTGCTTCTAATATACATTATGAATTTATTGAAACTTCTAAAATTAGCTAAAAAAAAAGATGAGCTTCTAACAGTACAACAGTATTAACCTCATCAAATACCTTTGTCTTAACAAAATTTCTAAGAGCAAATGCAAGCTACATAATTTTTTTTTTTGAAAATTATAAAGTAGACAATACAATTAGGTATTGCAAAATTTGTGTTAAAGAGTTAGAAGAGTCTCAACAGAGTTCTTATCTATATACTAAGTTAGATGATAGTATAAGAAATTTAATACAACATCTTTATAACAAGCACAATATTATAGCCAAAAATTATAAGAATTATCTTAATTCTGAAAAGAAAAGAAGTATTTTGATACTAGATAACCTATTTAGATTTTATATCTACAAGGTCTAATAATTTATTTATTATATTTATAGCCAAATATACATATTAATTAAATTACAAATTACAGTACATTAATACTCTTTTGCCTAAATGACAATATGAGCTTACAAAATATGTAGTGGAATTTATTATATATGATGTACAACTTTTACATATTTTAAAATGTTTATCTTTTCACCAAATGCTTTTAGAATTTTAACTCTAGTATTGGATACTTTGTGCAACTAGCATTAAAAGATATATTTCTAATGCATATTATACAAAAATAGATTAGCTTCAGAAATTGTTAACTAAAACTGCTATTATTGTTTATTTGATTACAAATCTGTAGATAGCAAAAAGCAAATATAGATATTTGAGTGTTACTGTGACATGGCTTATATCTGATTTTAAGTTTTAGGAAGCATTACTTATATGTCATCATATGTCTTATTTACATGATAGTAAAAGCATTAGTAATAAACTTTATAATATAATCTGTAAATAGAATCTTGACAATAAAGTATATATAATTACTATTAATAATAATGCCAATATTGTAAAGAGAATAAGATTATTGGACAAGGTTCATTTATTAAAAGTTAGCTAGCAACCTTGTATTGCATATACTCTTAATTGTCTGTTAAAGAAGGGTTAAAGCAAGTTAAATCTATTTATTGATAACTTAAAAGTATTCAAGCATTTTTTTATTTTCCAAAACAAGCATAATGATTATGAAAATCACAAATGCTTATTAATTCAGCAAATTTATCTTAGAATAATGAAACAATTAGCCTTCTTGAAGTATTAATGGATTGTAAAATGAGGTAAAGGTCATCTTATCTGGTCTGAAAAAAAATACTAGAATTGCATCTAGCAATGCAGACATTAGCTGCATAATTACAGAATAAATCAAATACTACATTAAAAAAGAAGAGTGAAAAACTTGATCAGTTATGTTTAGCTTCTAAAAAAAAAAGTATTTAGTTTTTTTTAATTTTAAAAATTTTAATACTATAATATTATCAATTTTAATAATAATAATTTGTATTATTGTATATTTTGTTTAATAAAAATTTTTTTTTAAAGCTTAGTAAAAGAAATGATATAGGTTTTAAAACTATTTAAAGAATTAATAAAACACATCTGTGATGCAAAATACCCTATTATGAATCTTGTATATTCTTATATTCAAAAGTTAAAAAATAAATATGCTCTAGTAGCTGAAAAGAGTGAATCAGTTAAAGCTTGGTTAGATTTTATTTATGAATCATTATTAGAAGATTTTGATGAAACAGCAAATAGTAATACAAGTATTAATAATGATAATGAAGCTGATATACCATCAGCTGGAAATAAAAAATAATGTCAATATGCACATGTATGTTAAAATGTATATTATTAAGATTGTGATTATAATCAAGTAAAAAAATACAAAAAAAAAGTGTAAATAGAATAGAAAAATTAAATAATTCAAATATAGTAAGATATTTACTTTCTACAAACTGCAATGTGCTTTTGAAAAAAATGCATGCTGCAATTTATTTGTTTCTTGATGAATTATAAGAGATTTCTTATAAAATTGAACTAAAGGCTTTTTTGTTAAATCTGTGTATATTAAAATTTCTTCTATTTGCTACTCTTAATAAAAAAAAAATATAAAAAGCCAAATTTGTGCAGAATTATTTGCATTGAAATCTAATAATAATAAAAGTAATATTGAAAGAACACAAGCTACTATAGAAGAAAATTTTAATTCTTTAAGTGCTGAATTATGGAGTTCACATTTAATGCCTAATCTACTAACTGCTACTAAGGATAAGTAACAAGATATTTAAGAGAACAAGTTGCTCCTAATGACCAAGACTTTTTAATATGATGAAAAAAAAGTTGTGTAAGCTTTTTACTGTTTAGTCAATTTGCCTATAAGTAGTTGTCTATTTCTGCAACATTAGTTCTATTTGAATACTTATTTTTCAATGTTAATATTCATATTTTAGCAAAAAGAACTCATTTTTTTTCAGATTTAGTTAATCAGATGTTGTTTTTAAAAGAAATAATAGTAATTTTTCAATTTTTTCATTAGAAAATAAATAGAGTTTATGATAGTTAAATTTTGTAATTACATTTATAAAGATTATAGAATAAAATATTAGATTTTTGAAATCAAATAACAGGGTTATAAATAAGAATACAAATCGAAATTGAAATTAATTAATTAGTTGGTTAGTTAACAACTAAGTGACTAAACTTTTTAGATACCAACAAATCAATTAATTGATTAATTGACTAATCGATTAGTTGCAACTAATATCTAAAGAATTAATTGATTAGTTTCAAAAAATTGATTAAAAATTTTTTAATGATTTGTAATACTAGTTACAAAATTAAAATCAAAAAATTTTATTTTATTTTTCTAATTTATAATTTAATATAGTAAAAGCTTATTCAAAAACTTATACTTATTTTGAAGTTTGCACTTATTTGTTAATTTCCTATTAATGCAAATATATTATTGAATATTCTCATTTAATTATATTTAAATTATTTTACTCTAGTAATTTAAAATTATTAATAGAGAATAAGAATCAAAGTACAATTAATGTTTTAACTTCAAAAGATATAGGTAATATTTGTTTAAAGTATAGTTACTGAAAATTTTAGATATTATTAAACTTTTGTTTTAGTTCAGGATTCAAATTAATTTAAAAATCACATTTAAAAAAAAAAATCATGACATACATTATATTTATTAAAAACCTAAGTATTAATACTATATATTGGTAAGTATATTTTTGTTTACATATGGAGTTTTGAATTAGTTTGTTATATATTAAAACTATCATACCCTTTTGACTTAGTTAGGTTAACATAATATGTATGAAATCGATATTCAAATTGAATCATGAATATAATTATAGTTTTAAAATTTATTTATGCTTTGGATTTTAGTTATTTTTTTTTTTTTTTGATATTAAGGTGATCTCTTTGATCCAAGCTTTTTATTAATACTTATAGCAGGTACATGTTTTATATAGACATATCTATAATAAACTTTAGACGAGTATACAACTGGCTACATGTGTAACTTTTCTATATTACCTATTTAAGGAGTCTGCCCGAGAGTTCCTTACCAGTTGCCATACCTAACACCCCTGCTTAGATGTTCTATTTAAACCCTTTGATTTAACCCTAATATTAATTTTACCAGGTCACAAACCTGGATCTATTCATATTCAACCATAGGACTATAATTCTTAGACTATTTTTATCTTTGAGGTAAACCTACTAGAGCAAGCCATATTTCTTTTTATCACTAACCTGGTTTGATACTGTAATAAAATTTACTAAAAACTATCAAGCTGTAGCAAATTTTAAAGTAATGAAGATCGAGTAGAAGATCTTTTATTTAAAGGAAAATAAAATAAAAGAAAAGAAGAAATATAAAAATAAATAAAATAAATAAAA